CAACTTAATAAAGTTTTGACAATTATTTAAATATGTAATGTTAAGCTTAGGTTTAAGCTGGTAAACTGGGTCTTTGTCATTTGCTTTAAAAAAAGAAAATAAATGTGAAAAAAAATTGTTCTAATTAGTTACACAGGCAACAGCTTTTTTAAATTTATTTTTTAGTTTTAGGGTAGACACAATATCTTTATTTTACATTTATGTGGTGCTGAGGATCGAACCCAGAGCCTCATGCATACAAGGCCAGCGCTCTACTACTGACTCTACCACTGAGGCACAACCCCAGCCCCATGCATCAGCTTTTTATTGACTACTTTTCAACCAGCTGTTGAGAAGTACTTCAGTCTAAAATATTTTTTGTTGTTTTTAAGATTCTGTTCTCCTAACTCTTCCAATGGTTATATAACAACCTCAATCCCTGTATTGATATCTTTCTAATCTTGATTTTTTTAAGATCACCTTGAAAATATGCTTATGATTTACTTAATGCGAACCAGGTAGAAATGTTATATATTTTGATTGGAATTCACTTGTATATTCTCAAATTTACACTTGAGGTTGTTTAAGCTCATGTCCAGTTCTGATAGCATGAATTTAAATGCACACTGTATATACGCAACCACTGGGTCAAGTGGAGTCCACAACATTCATGGCATTGGGTATAGATGATTCTTTTTTATATTCTACATCTTTAAATTCATTTTCCATTCCAGTTCAGGAAGAGGAAAAGGAGTTATTTGAAACTAATGTGATGAATATTATGGACTTCAGTTAATCTGGTGACTGAAGTAAGTGTGTGTGTGTGTGTGTGCGTGTGTGTGTGTGTGTGTGTGTGTATCCATTCAATAGAGAAATGATTCCCACGCTGAGGTTGGTGAAGTAGATCCTCAAGCTATTTTAAAGATTTTTTGAAGCTTAAATAAGTGTGTGCCTTTGTTCCTTAATTAAGCTGCACAGGCTAATAAAATTTAACACTTTGTATTTACCTAGAATTAAATCAGTTCAGTGAGATATTAATAATTATCTGGGGTTGTTCAGGTAAACAAATTGAAAGGAATATGTGATAAAGTAAGTAAAGCAAAACAAATAACCTTAATAAGTTCAGTTTTCTGTTTTGTTTTGTTTTGGTTTTGATACCAGGGATCGAACTCTGAGGCGCTTAACCACTGAGCTACATCCCCAGCCCATTTTTTAATTTTTTTTATTTTGAGACAGGGCCTCACTAAATTGCTGAGGCCGTCTTTGAACTTTCCTCCTGCATCAGCCTCCTAAGCTTCTGGGATTACAAGTGTGCGCCACAGCGCCCAGCTCAAGTTCAGTTTTCTTGATGAACAGAGATTGCATTAAGGAAAAGAAAACAAAGAAGGTATTCAATGAAGAAAAGTTTAACAACCATCATCAATTTCTAAAGAAAAAACATGGGTTGTGTTTTAACCTCTATTGATGAGTTTCCAGGGTGGAAAGGTGAGACTTGGAGAATCTGGGGCTGAAGACACCAGGATTGAAGAAACTGACAAGTTGGTAGAACTGGATTCAAAATGACTGGCCAATAGTCCAATGCCAGCGTCAGAAGGGTACAGCCATCTTTGGCCTGGCTCTGGCAAGCATTGATACCGAAAGAGTTCACAGCACACAGCACCAAGCAGTAGCATTGGCATGTGCAATAATGGCAATCAGGATGAGTGACAGCATGTCAAATGCTCAGTCTTCTGGGGAGAAAGACCCAAGACTAGGCAAATGACCTAGTGTTCAGGGCTAGCCTCAGCTCCCAGTGGGAACTGGAGCGAAACCCACAGCTGAAGCCCAGATAAGTGGAACAAAGCAGCACCATGTCACAAGAGGTAAAATGGGTCCCTGCATGTCCAGCATGATGCTTATGTTACCACCCAGTCAGTGTCACATGAAGTCAGAACCTAGCATCTGCCCACTGTGAGAGTATGTGGGGAAAAACAGGAAATTATCCAAATCTCAAATTTATCTATTCCTGACTTACAGAGCAAAATCTTTAGTCCTTAATTTAAATTATGCTAAAATAATATAAACTTCACAAATAAAATGTTGTGATTGTTTTTCACAGCAAAATAAAGAAGAGCAAAAGCACAAAATCTCTCAAGTGATGTTTAACAAATAATATTTTTTCAAAAATGTGCAACAAATATTAAATATTATTCTCACCAAGATATTTTCAGTTCCAAATATATATAGAAAGTATATATTTAATTCATCATTAAACTTCCCAGAATAAAACAATGTAGAATATAAGAGTTTCCTTTCAGTTGAATCTTAAACAGGATATTGCTCAGGTTTTCAATTTTGGCCTCTGAGAACAGACTCTAAAGATGAATTTACTTTAAATGTGACAAATGAAAATTTTGATTTTAAAATAAAACAAGTAATTGTGGTGTGTGATTTCAATTATCTCCACATTTTCAAGTTATTTATGCTAATGAAACAAAAATCCAGTATGATAAGTGAAATTCTTTTGTGTCAACACAGTCCACCAAAATACAGTAGGCACCTTTGACAACCTCTGAGGACCACGCATGCATGCAGATCATTCTCTCTCTCTATTACTCAACTGCTCAAAGTTGCCAGATCAAGAATGAGCTGGGCTGCCTTTCTCACATTGCTTGGAAAAACCATTAACAGCTTGATTTAATCAGGCCAAGCCAAAAGAATGGAATAATCAAACAATGAACAGTTTCTATTATTTTCTTTTCTGTTACAGTTTATTTTAAATTTCATGTGCAATTTAACCAAACAAAAGTGTGGCAGGGAGAGGAATTGTAAATTTCGGAAGGCAATAGTTTTCCTTTACCTGCCTAGTCTATAATAATAATTCTATCCCCTGTAATTAACAATTTTCTAAAAAATTACTAGCTTGAAGGCTGACCATGGTCAGAATCACAAAATGATTGCAAAAAAAATTTTACTGAATGTTTCTTGAATGTTAAAAACAATATTCTAGAGCTTTTATTCAAGTCTTTTGTCTGGCAAAATTGCTTTATTGCGAGAACTCTAAGAATGGGAACACAATTGACTTTGTCTCTTGTCCCATTTCCCACACAGAAGGGCCCTGATGCTTTCTGCAGATCTAAGCACACACCATATGTTCCATCCATATAGACCAGGTTACCTCATGGAAGCTCAGAAGTCTTCCAGGGAAGCATTTACTGGGTGCAACCTTAATTAACTAATTACTTAGGGTAGGGTTAGGAGGGGGAGGAAAACCTGGGAATCAAATTTAACCTTGATACGTGAAACCTCAGTATTTGAAACGTTTTACAGATATCAAAAAATAAACGTTACCCAAGGGCACTGTACAAACACAAATTTTATGTTGTGAAATCTTGCATACATAGAAATCAGACGGCAATGTTCATATCATGTTTTTCAGACTGGCTAAACACTCAGTTTATCACTGAGTGCTCCGCTGTGTGCACCATGTGCCCTGTTCCCACCGAATGACACAGATTTCAAAAAATAAGTATGATTAATGAGATAAGTTAAATGACTGATGTAAAAAGTTCCTGCAGCAAGCTCTCCATTTGGTCATTTACACATAGTAAATATTGTAAAACCCTTTAAAGATAATTTTTAAGAGGCCCAGCTACCTCTACAGAATTAGAAGCAGAAAAATTATAACTGGAGTGTATATGTATAGTGTTAATATACACTGAAGAATAAGCCACATATATAGGAGAGCTTATAAGAACAGAAAATAGTATCAATATTATTGTTAACAATAATAATGTATAATGTATGCATATTACATAACGATGGGATTAATAGTAGTGAAGACCTAGAAAAATATATTTCACTTTACGAGTCAATTAATATAAAGATGTAAATACCAGCTTAGGCCACCTTCCCCTCCCCCAGTCCAATTGTTACTTATTGTTACACATTAACTTCAGAGTCTCTCCAGCAGACAAAATGTACTGTTAAGTTCTGGAAAAATCCAGATAATAATCATTACAATCAGAAGAAAAGAGTGTGGCACTAGAGAAAAGCCTATCGAAATGACACCTTCTCAGACAGAGATCCTGAGTCATCTTTGTCTTTTCTTTTTTGGTGCATTTTTACTGGGGGGAACACAGAGGGTATCTCCACTCCTCATGCCTCTGACTTCAGATGCTCAGGATCTATCTGTAAATTGAGGACACTGGAGCTTCTGAGCTGGAATTCTAGGGCTCCTGTTGTGGAGACTTGGGTGCCTTCTGCTGTGGCTGCCCCCTGCTGCTGGGATTTCGAGATGGGAGGCTCAGCTGCTTTGCCCCAGTTGCGGACCCCACTGTACAGTCCTTCCAGGCCCTTCTAGAGCCTCTGACCACAGACCCCTGCCACATAACCGATTTCATGGCCACCAACTTAGCCTTCCGAGATGTTATGCTGCCTGGCCACAGGCTCAACAAGTCCAAAGCTTGGGACTGGAGCCCCTTGAAACCGGCTAAGTCCTGGACACATCCCGACAAAAAAATTTCTTAAAGAACTAAATGATGAAGTTGTTTTTCAGAAGAACCTCCAGAATTTACTCAAGGACCTTTGAATCTGGCTTTTCAAGAATGGACATGCGCAGACACAGCCAAGTCATCTGGTCCCAATGACCTTTTCACCACACAAGCTCAAAATCCCTGCTGCAGAACACAACTCCCCAGTGGAAAAAGAAACGAGCAACCTGTAAAGAGAGATGATGACCCTTTGCTCCTGTGCAAAAAAGCTTAAAACTTCCCCTTCTCGCCACCCAATCAACAAGCAGCTTTTTCTCCCTCACTTCCTAGGAACACTGACATCCTCTTGGGAAAGACTAAAAAGGGCATGCTGGGTAACAGCCAGATTTAGGTGAGATTCAGGGGTGTTGAGATGGTCATCCTGGTTGATGCTGGGCTCTGGGATGTGAGGCAGCAGTTGTATTAGAGCTCACCAGACCGGTGCACACCTAGATGTCATGAAAGGTGGCGGGCAGGGGGGCGGGGGGGGGCTATGTAAGCAGTTCTTACCTCTTGAGGAGGCTCTTCCTTTGTAGTTTTCTTTGAAAGCTTCACTTTTTTAGTCCTAACAGGTGATGTACTACGAGCGGCAGCTGAGTGTGGCCTCAAGGGTGTCGTACTCCTGGATAAAGTCCCAGAATGGGAGGGCCATGGGGACAAAGAGCCTTCTCTTCCCCAGCCTGTTTTCAGGTTCTGACACACAAAAAGAACCAACTTAGTCATTCTCATGTCATTCCTCAGATCTATGCTCTCTTCCCTCCCCTGAGTGGGAAACTCTGAGTTGAAGTTTTCAGTCCCAAAGGGCCTGACTCTGTTCTTGCTCCCAGTTCCAAGGTCTGCCCTGGCCTGGCTCAATTTGCAGGCTGGGTTCAAGTCTCTACCCGCCCCCCCCACCCCAACCACGAATCCTAGCATTCCAACAGACTGATGTGCTTTGGAAGCACCTGGGAAGGCAGGGTCCCTGTGGAATGGGATGAGGTGGTAGCTTGAGGTTGTATCAAGGTGGGCTGGAGGAAGGGGAGTAGGAGGAAGGAAGGAAGGGCAGGGTGTGGAGCCAGAGGAGCAGCCTACAGACAACACCTTGACCTGGCTGGTTTGCTCCTCGGCTCACTTTCTCTCTCCTCCACCTGTGCTCATCAGTCAGTTCCTTGTTACCTATTCACACCTCTTGCTCCACTTTCAAGCATTTTTCTGTTTTAAACCCCAACATTAAACAGTGGAAAGCCTCAGTACAGTATGTATAGATTCTCTAACCCAGATGCCAAGAGAAGGGAGGCACAGAACAGATGGACAGAGAGATTGATTGATTAAATACAAACCCGGACACTTACACTATCGTACTTTCTTCTAAGCTCCATGTCTTCTTTCTGTTTTTTAATCTGTGAAATGAAAGACCATATTATTTTTAATCATTTGTGAAAATTACAAAGGAGAATTTTTTAAAATCTTAAGCAATAAAAGAGTAGCACTTAAAACTATTTCACTGTAGAAACTATTATAGAAATATGAGCTTTATTATTGAATGTGAATTATAAGAAAAACAAATTTGTATCTGGAATAAAAAGCACCTAAAAATAAGTGAATTATATATATTTAAAGTTATTAGCATTTATTTATTGCTTTAAGGATTACAGATTAAAGGGACACATATTAATTATTTATGAGGTGATAATTTGATACAATATCATAATAGCTGTAAATCCAAGGCCTTATTTTAATATTTTAAAAAATTAAGAATTTAATAGTGAAACTTCATAAAATAATAAAATTTTACTTTAAAATTAATTAATGTTCTCCTCTGAGAAGTGTTTGTTCAAGTCCTTGGCCCATTTGTTGATTGGGTTATTTGTTATCTTATTGTTTAATTTTTTGAGTTCTTTGTATACTCTGGATATTAGGGCTCTATCTGAAGTGTGAGGAGTAAAAATTTGTTCCCAGGATGTAGGCTCCCTATTTACCTCTCTTATTGTTTCTCTTGCTGAGAAAAACCTTTTTAGTTTAAGTAAGTCCCATTTGTTGATTCTTGTTATTAACTTTTGTGCTATGGGTGTCCTATTGAGGAATTTGGAGCCCGACCCCACAATATGTAGATCGGAGCCAATTTTTTCTTCTATCAGACACAGAGTCTCTGATTTGATATCAAGCTCCTTGATCCATTTTGAGTTAACTTTTGTGCATGGCAAGAGGAGGGGATTCAGTTTCATTTTGTTGCATATGGATTTCCAGTTTTCCCAGCACCATTTGTTGAAGATGCTATCCTTCCTCCATTGCATGCTTTTAGCCCCTTTATCAAATATAAGATAGTTGTAACTTTGTGGATTAGTCTCTGTGTCCTCTATTCTGTACCATTGGTCCACCCGCCTGTTTTGGTACCAGTACCATGCTGTTTTTGTTACTATTGCTCTGTAATATAGTTTGAAATCTGGTATCGCTATACTGCCTGATTCACACTTCCTGCTTAGAGTTGCTTTTGCTATTCTGGGTCTTTTATTTTTCCATATGAATTTCATGATTGCTTTCTCTATTTCTACAAGAAATGCCGTCGGGATTTGATTGGCATTGCATTAAACATATAGAGAACTTTTGGTAATATCGCCATTTTGATGATGTTAGTTCAATCAACAAGTACATGAAAAAATGCTCACCATCTCTAGCAGTCAGAGAAATGCAAATCAAAACCACCCTAAGATACCATCTCACTCCAGTAAGATTGGCAGCCATTATGAAGTCAAACAACAACAAGTGCTGGCGAGGATGTGGGGAAAAGGGTACTCTTGTACATTGCTGGTGGGACTGCAAATTGGTGCGCCAATTTGGAAAGCCATATGGAGATTCCTGGGAAAGCTGGGAATGGAACCACCATTTGACCCAGCTATTGCCCTTCTTGGACTATTCCCTAAAGACCTTAAAAGAGCGTGCTACAGGGATACTGCCACATCGATGTTCATAGCAGCACAATTCACAATAGCTAGACTGTGGAACCAACCCAGATGCCCTTCAATAGATGAATGGATAAAAAAAATGTGGCATTTATACACAATGGAGTACTACGCAGCACTAAAAAATGACAAAATCATGGAATTTGCAGGGAAATGGATGGCACTAGAGCAGATTATGCTAAGTGTAGCTAGCCAATCCCTAAAAAACAAATGCCAAATGTCTTCTTGGATATAATGAAAGCAACTAAGAACAGAGCAGGGAGGAAGAGCAGGAGGAAAAGATTAACATTAAACAGAGACACAAGGTGGGAGGGAAAGGGAGAGAAAAGGGAAACTGCATGGAAATGGAAGGAGACCCTCATTGTTACACAAAATTACATATAAGAGGTTGTGAGGGGAATGGGAAAAAAAAACAAGGAGAGAAATGAATTACAGTAGATGGGATAGAGAGAGAAGATGGGAAGGGAGGGGAGGGGGGATAGTAGAGGATAGGAAAGGTAGCAGAATACAACAGTTACTAATATGGCATTATGTAAAAATGTGGATGTGTAACCGATGTGATTCTGCAATTTGTATACGGGGTAAAAATGGGAGTTCATAACCCACTTGAATCTAATGTATGAAATATGATATGTCAAGAGCTTTGTAATGTTTTGAACAACCAATAAAAAAAATTTCAAAAAAAAGAAAAAAAATTAATTAATGTTAATTTCCAGGCACAAAAGCATTGTATCAGAAAAATACTACCAATCAATGCTTCAATAATTTTAAGATTTTTATTCATAGCATGGATTTATGAATAATGATTTGAATTATGACTAAACTTATTTAAAATTAAATGATGGAACTAAAAGATGAGAAATACATTTAACGATTAATTTCATTGGTATCTGATTAACAACTATAATGGATATCCAAAAATCTTTCTCATCTTGAACATTGAGCAGAACTCAACGAAAAGATATAACAACTTTCAATCTGGGAGGTTAGTTACTAATGCCAATGAAGAACTGTATTATATGGTCTCAGTGGGTTTCAACTCAAGCCTAGTACAGTTAAATTCCATTATGATGGTTTAAAAATAACTTTCTCCAAAATCTTCAAAAAACTATTGCAAATTGAATATAGCAATATATAAAAGGTATAAGAGATCATAACAAAGCAGAATTTTGCCTAGGCATGCAAAAATGATTTAACATAACAAAAACACAGTATTTTTTCATATTATAGAATAAAAGAGAAAAAATACGATCATTTCCATAGCTTAAGAAACAGTCATTTATGATAAAAACTCAAAAAATTAGGAAACTCCTAAAACTTGGCAAATGCTTTCCATGAAAAATTTATAGCCAAATCATACTTGATGATGAACCGATAAATTATATTCCCCTAAGATTGAGAACAAAACACTCATTTTCACCATTGCTATTCAACATTATATTGGAAGTCATAGTTATTGCAAGACAACAAAAAGAAATAAAGCATAAAGATCAGAATGAATAAGTAAAGTTGTCACTGTTTACAGAAGATCTGATTGCTTACATAGAAAATCACAAAGGACCTACAAAATTCTTATGATAACTAACAAATCGATGCAGCAAACCTGTAGAATACAAAGTTAACATAAAAATAATTGTATTTTTGTATATACTAGTACCAAACAATTAGAAATAAATTATAAAAACAATTTCAATTACAACAGCATCAAAAATATAAAATATTTAGGAAATTAACAAAAGATATGCAAGATCTCTACCCTGAAAATGATAGTCCATTGCTAACAAAAATTAAAAGAGAACTAAATGAATGGAGGTATATATCATGCTTATGGATTCAATGACTCAGTCTATAATAAATATGTCAATCCCTTCAAATTGAACTATAGATCTATTTATTTATTTTAAAATTTTAGTTATAAGTGAACACAATACCTTTATTTTATTTTTATGTGGTGCTGAGGACTGAACCCAGTGCCTCACACTTGCAAGGTAAGTGCTCTACCACTGAGCCACAATGGCAGCCCGAACTATAGATTTATTATAATCATAATCATGCCAATTCTTTTTTGGTAAAAACAGACAAGCTATTTCTAAAATCTACACAAGAATACTGAGGATCTAGAATTTTTAAGATGACTTTGAAAAAGAACAAAGTTGGAGGAGCTACTGCACCTGATTTCAATATTCATTATAAAACTATACTAATTCTGTGGTTCTAGCATATGGATTGAAAATCACTAGAATTGAATAGAGAACTTAAAAATACACTGTTTGATTTTTAACAAAATGCCAAAGCCATCAATACAATGGAAGAAAAACATTTTCAACAAATAGTGTTGGAATAAATGGATAACTTTTCTTGGGGAAAAATAGAAATTTGACCCTTATCTTACACTGTACACAAAAATTAATATGAACCATATTGTTAAACAAAAGACTAAAATCATAATAGCTTAAAAATCATAAAAGAATGTCCTCTTGACCTTAGGTCTGACAAAGTTTCTAAATGTATATAAAGGAATATTCATCAAAGATAATAACAGGTAAATTAGACTTTAAAACAAAAACATTTTGTCATCAAAACACATTGTTAAAATAATAATCAGAAAAAGCACAGCTGGGAAGAAAATATCTACAAAGCATGTATCTGAGAACAGACTGGATCCAAGAAACAACTTCTGGATTGTGTTGTAGTCCCATGCTTAGTTTTTAATAATTGCCAAACTGTTTCCCTAGATATTTACTTTCTCTGTGTCCTTGCCAACACTTACTATTACCACTATTTTTTTTCTCCTTCAACTTAACAATTTCATAGGTGTGTAGTAATTTATTGATTTGCATTTCCTTCATGGTTAATATTATTGAACATCTTTCATGTGTCTCTCCAGTAAAACATCTGTTTGTGTTTTTGCCCAGTTTTTAATTGGAATGGTTTGTTTTGACTTTATTTTTCCCTGTTGAGTTTTTGGAGGTTTTCATAATGTGATACTAGCCCTTTGTTAGAATATGGTCTACAAAAATTTCCTCTTCCAAGTCTGCAGCTTATCTTTTCATCTGCTTCACATGTGTGTTTTTTTTTTTTCTTTTGTGGGGATTGAACCTATGGGCACTTCACCAGTAAGACACAGTCCTTTTTTTTTTTTGTTTAATTTTTAGACAGGGTCTCTTTAAGTGGATGTGCTGGCCAGGAACTTGTGCTCCTCCTGCCTGAGCCTCCTGAGTTGCCGGGATTACAAATGTGTGCCACTGAACCTGGCTCACATGTGCTTTTATGTTGCAAAAGTTTGTAATTTTGATGACGTCTGTTTGGGTCACTTCAAAATTTGTATGTTGATTTAATACCAATACCAATGCAGTGATTAGGAAACGAGGTTTTAGAACTAAAATGGTCTAGATCAGGTCATGAAGGTAGGAGCCTCATGATGGGATTGGTGCCTGTTT